CAGCGTTCGCAAATCGCCACTCAAAGTAAAATGGCGACCAAAATGGCGACTGACTTGGGCGACATCCGCTCAAAGATTTTTCCAACAATTCCTTAGTAAAATAAACCGGAAGTTTATAGAAAGGACGATAGCGGATGTACCTCATGAAAGAGGCAAAAAGCATTGTTCACTAAATAATGTCCATCACACAAATTAAATGCGCAAAATAAATTTAGATCTGTATTTCAAAAGTTTTTAAAAAAGCGTTTTACGGCACTCGCAACACAATAAGGTCATATAAGTGCCGAATATTAGAGGTGTTACAAGCAAGTAATAAACACCAAAAAAAAGGAGGGGAGATAAAGACGAAAGATGTTTGAGAGGAAAGAAGAATGCTAAGCAAACCACACTAGAGCACCCGCCAACCACCCACTTAAATCTGCTTTTAAAAAATAATAAGGTTGAGTCAACTACATGTATACAGATCTATTTACCTAACATTATTATTTTCCTTATTAATTATAAGTATAGGCCTATGCTATTATGTTCAAGATCATAGATCTATACAATCATGTAGGCTAAGCTTACCCCTATCCTGTATGGTTGGTGTAGGCCTACCGAGTCCAAACACCAACCTCCATAATATTCACTAGGACAAGGTCATGTACCATAATGATCAGACTTAGATCTCTAGAAACTGCAGTTGGGAAAAAAGAGTTCTGAAGAATTACGTAACTGTTCTAGAAGCGGCAGCAGCCTTTGGTTTCAGGATTTGGAAGAGTTTTACGGCATTTCTAATACAAATAGGTTATTTACAAACAAGTGGAAAAAGATGCAAAGTGTACGGACTAGATTTACCAGTAAATTCCTCTTTGGAAAGTGGGGGCGCAGAGTTCCCCACGTAGTAAAACACGACGTACGAATAGGGTTAAGCAACCACTTTTCTCCTCTACAATAAGCGGCTGTCTTGAACAATCTCTACAGCAGACTCAGACCGCCCACTCCCCACTCAGCTGCCATTTAATGACAAAAAGAATTGCATAATTAGGTCAAGTAGCCATTTTTTACAGGGGGATACGTCGCACACAGAGACTTGAAATCACGCATCCGTGGAACTGTGCCTGCAGTCTCGGTTGTTTTTAATTTTTACTATAACATCTTTGTAAGATATCCCTCCAACTACGGATCCCTCGAACTACCGAGGCCGGTCCCAACGAATTCGAGCTATCCGTGTTGTACTGTATGTTTTTCTGTCTTAAGACGGCAGACAGACATACAACACCACTACATGTTACAACAGAACAAGATTTCCCCAACTTCTCCACACGGTTTTGAGCAAAAAAATTCTAAAATTCTGCAAACTGAGTTCAAAAATGTGAAATTGTGCGATTCTGGTAATTTTAACAAAGAATGATAAAGGAAAATAATAAAATATATTATGCAAAAAATCAAATTTTGCAAAATTATGCGGGGTGCATAAAACCCCGGGGACAGCCTAACTGGGATGCATGAGCCCCTGGGGATGCGCTAGACCATCTTAGGTTTCCGTGAGACATTTCTGTGTAAAAACTGGGGTACCGTACCATACTTTTTGTAGAAGTGACTCGGGCTGACACCGCGTCTCGAAAAGCTGACAAGACCTCTAATAACATCCATAGAATCTCCGTGGGAAATAAAGGTAAGGAAAAACCCACAAGAGATCTTCCCCTTCTCCACACAGGCATAACACACCACTATTGGTTTCACCATGCGCCCTATAATTTCAGAAGTCTTTTTTTAAAGTAGCATTTTCAGATGGTGTAGCAATCCTGAGATTGTAACTGTGTAGCAATCCTGAGATTGTAACTGTGTAGCAATCCTGAGATTGTAACTGTGTAGCAATCCTGAGATTGTAACTGTGTAGCAATCCTGAGATTGTAACTGTGTAGCAGTCCTGAGATTGTAACTAACTGTAATGTTTTACACCCCTGTCCGCATAAGTTAGACGAACAAGGAAGAGGAAAGCTTTGAACATGCCATTCATTAAGGGTCACCCCGGGTTGAGAGGGATAAAACGTCTCAGCAGACAAAGGTTCTCTACTAATTAATGTAGGCTACAGTATAACACGGATAGCTCGAATTCATCGGGACCGGCCTCGGTAGTTCGAGAAATCCGTAGTTCTAGGGATCTTATAAAGTAAAGGTCGGTAAAGAAGGAAAAAAACCCAGGACTGCAGGCACAGTTCAACGGATGCGACATTTGGAGTCTTTTTTGTTCCACCTATCCGTGATATAGATCTAGATCTACTGTATTACCAAAATATTTCCTCACACGGGATTTGAACTCACTTCTTCTGCACGGCACGTTGAAGCGCCTAACTGGTTACACCACAGAATCCGGTCCTGACATTGGGTTAAATTAATTAAATAAATGTATTTACCGAGTCTATACCATGAGTTTTTGTTTGTTGGGGTGGGAGGTTGGAGGGATCAGAGGATTCCCTGGTCTACCATCTCAGTGCAGCGCCCAAATTTGTTGAATACGTCATATTACGTGAAGCGTAGTGCCTTAGCCTTGACAACGGTTGCTATGGAAATCGTGCAACTTGGTGAGTGGATTTAAGAACATGGGTACAGGATAAAAGTAATATGCCTACTAATCTAGATCTAGATATATCTAGATCAAGATCTAATAGTGGACTAGATCTATAGATTCAACTCTAACACGCTGTAGATCTAGCCTATTACAACATAGAACACAATAATTTATTGCAGTCCCATATAGATCTAGGCCTACAAGTATTATTATACCTGTACATATTCTAGACTCTAGATCTAGATCTAGATCTAGACTCTAGACTCTAGACTCCAGAGTCTAGATTAGTCGACATCACTGAGCGTTTCTTCCATTTCCCAAATTTCAATGTCAGTCAGTCAAGTCATACACATTGTCTGGTTCAGATTCTTCGCAAGCTGACATTCAACATTCTATCGGCTTCCTGGTCCCACACGACGGACTCCGAACACTAAGATGATTGAGAATTTTGTCAGTAAAGATTTTTGAATGACGCGCGTCATCGAACTTCGAAGCAGGGTTGTTAATTCAAAACGAAGGAACTAGAATCTAGATCTAGATGTAGATCTATAAAACTTGTAATTTTAGCAAATTGACGTCTCCCAAACAAAAAATAAAGGTTTAGCGCTCGGAACTGTGACAAATTTGAGTTACGAAATGCTTTATTATTATAAAATGCAAACAGAACTAATTTCATACTTTTTAGCAGAACTGCGACGATTACGGTCTAAGGGAAATAACAATGAAAAAACTAGTTTAACAATAAGAACCATGGATTGCTTCCCTTAAATTAGACCAAATACGTCATTGTTATTTGAGCACACATTTTTCATTGCGTCATTGTTCATTGTGTACACATCCTTACGTCAGCATTCTTTGCGTAAACATCTATGTCATTGTTCATTGAGTACACATATTTTTTACGTCACTGTCTTTTGCGTAAACACCCCGAGAGGTGATCTATTTATACGGCCTAACTTCTTTGTGGAAAACCCCAAGCCTGGGCTAGATCTAGATCTAGGCTTTTTTTTTACGTCGTCTTTCGTTGAGCTCGTTTTAGATCTAATTTGGTTGTTTTAACTTGTTTCCGTTTGACTAGATCTGGTTACTTATTGTCCCGATCTAGATCTAGATCTAGCTGTTTACGCGTCGGTTGATGCTGCTGATAGTTTTAACTTTTGAGGCCTTGTGTAACTACAGCATCATCTTCATCATTTCAAACCATTCATGCTGAACATTTTGTGCCCAAACTAATGTCAGAAAAGAAATGATTTTCAAGTGCTGTCCTCTCTGTACAGTTGCACAAAATTTGCTATTTTAAAATTATTTTTTTTCGAAAGCCAAATTTAAGTACCTGTATTGACAGATGTGTGCTCTTCTGACTGCAGGAGAATAACAAAGTTACATCGAAGACTGTCAGGAAATGAATTAAAGAGCAGTCAAAAATTTGTGTCGCAACGTAATATCAAATATTTCTTAAACTATTGAACATAGACTCTCCAGTTTTTGCACAACGACTTCCATAAATTATTGACTTAACAGATAAATATTTTTGTAAACACTTGTTAATTTTTACGTGAGAGAGAGGGAGAGAGAGAGAGAGAGAGAGAGAGAGAGAGAGAGAGAAAGAGAGAGAGAGAGAGAGAGATAGAGAGAGATAGAGAGAGAGAGGACAGAGAGAGAGACAGAGAGAGAGGGGACAGAGAGAGAGACAGAGAGAGACAGAGAGAGACAGAGACAGAGAGAGAGAGAGAGACAGAGAGAGAGAGAGAGAGAGAGAGAACAAAGAGAGAGAGAGAGAGAGAGAGGGGGGGGCGTAGGCCAACTCATGTAAAATTCTATATATATACCCAACTCCTACTCCTATTCCAGAAAGCTGAACTCATTCAGTGACTGCCTGCTGGAACAAAATTTTGGACGATCTTGGAGCTATGTTGGTGTCGAGAAAAAAACAAGAAGCGAAGGACGATTTTACGGTTTTACAATTATAATTAAAATTTTTATAAACACTTTGGAGAAGGGATGTAACCAGAGGTATTTCTATACCTCTTTCTTCTATTATTACGCAGTTCAATCCCTTTATTTAACACCTCGCGTCATTGGGAACAGTCTTGTGCGCAGGTGCATTGATTTCATCGACTGCTGACTGCTGACTGCTGACTGCTGCTTTGATTTTGTAAGATATTTCGTAACATAACATACGTTACATTTACATAAAATGTAGATCTAAACAAACCATAAAAGTGAGTACGCAGACCTTAGTTCCTGAAATGCTTCGTCATTTAGCTAAGTTTTTAAGTGTCTCAAGAACGCCAATACTTAAGTCTACTGATAGCATTAGGTCAAGATCTATATTATCGGTTGTTCAGGGTTGCAACAGGTGCAACAAAACTAGACTAGCGCCAGCACTGCTGCCGTTTCATCAACTTCAACCAACCAGTTGCCTACTTATCTTTCTTTAGAAGAATGGGAGACACACAATCCGGTATGTTTACTTGTCCTGTTACTGTTAGTTTTGACTGTGTGTATGTGTGTTTTGTCTGATTGATGGTAAAGCACATAAGTGAGTGGTCCATGAATAACACCTTGAGCTATAGATCTAGTATTTCATAATAGTATAGTTCAGTGACAGTGAATTAGTTTTATAGATCTAGTACAGAAGTCGGGAAGTTCCAGGTATTGTCCATCCTGCCTGTTGAGTCTTGGTCTTAAACAATATTATGGCCCTTTAACTTGCTGCTCTTATATCTGTGGTAGGATACAATGATACACATTGAAAAATCTACTTGATTTTATTCTTGCCTTTCAGATGCAAGTCATTTTTATCTTGTTAGGTCTTTCCGTCATTGCCAGTCACTGCCAGCGTAAGTTCAAATTATCTCCCAATTTTTACTATGGGTTCTGACCAAGTACGCTAGAGAGCTTAAATTAAGTTGAATGCATTTCTAACTTCCTCTCTAATCTAAGAAAGCCAACGATAATCTTGGCTGCTATAATTTAGGCAAGAGTTTGAGGTTAAACTTTTTGTTCTTTTCAGTCTTGAAAAAAACATGTTCTCTTTTTCTTGGAAAAAAAATATCAGTCTCGACAATTTAATAATGAATGTAGATCTAGATCATTTCTGTATTAGCACCCTCCTTTGTGATCACAGCTCTAGGTGCTTTACATAAATGCATATGAACAGTTTTCACACACACACACACACACGCACACACACACACACACACACACACACTCACACTTACAGGCACACACATGCACACCACACACACACACACACACACAAACACACACACACACACACACACACACACACTCACACACACACACACACACACACATTTTCAAAATAATTAAAGGCTAAAGTATAAGAAACCCATTTCTGACACAGGACCATGGTATAGTATGCCAATTTGACCTTCCATAATTTACACTCCACGCTGCAGTTGTTCAAAGACCTTATACATGAAAGTTGAAAATTGCACTGACTATGAATTGTTCTATATTGATGTATCGAGTGGCTTTATGTCCAGCATATATTTTATCATGTGACATGATTGTGCACTTTGTTGTAAATTGTTGTGTATCACATGACATTGTCATGACGTTTTTCTGACATCACAAAAGTAGTACTATGACTAAAAAGAAAACTCCATGTATTTGTCTCCTGATAAAAGTTCCATCATGTTCCTCTGTTTTATGACCCCAGGGATTCCTGACACAGTGGGTGGTGAGAGAGCCAACAAAGTCGTTCTCACAGATGAGGAGTGGAGAGCCAAACTGACACCTGCACAGTATGATGTGTGCCGGCGGCATGGGACAGAGAGGGTAACGTTATCTGTTTTAGCACATATATTGTATTGGACCTGCTCTTACAACCAACTGTAAAAAAGACAACCACCTGTACAAACAGCCTCTTCCCATTCCCCTCCCCTCCCCATCCCCAGCTTTTTTTGTTTTTAAAAAATACATTATATACGGATAGTTCGAATTCATCGGGACCCGCCTTGGTACTTCGAGGAATCCGTAGTTTAAGGGATATCTTACAAAGAAAAAGAAAAAGAAAAAACCCGGGACCGCAGGCACAGTTCAATGGATGCGTGATTTCGAGACTTCTGTGTATCTGTGACTGTATTCTACTGTGTACTGTGTCCACCTGTCTAAGACTACCATTTTCTCCTTAACAATAGAGTATAGTTGGCCATCTTAGACAGTTCTGACTGTACAATCATGGAATCCTTCAGTGTGTAGTCAGTTTTCTGGATTGAGACCTGATGGCACATAGTTATACAGTCAAACATGTGTAAGACGGCCAGCCATTGTCAAGGAGAAAAGTGGTCGTATAAGACAGGTAGCCGTCTTAGGCAGGACTGATCAAGATGAAGAAAACAAGCCATTCCCATCTGAAGTCCCAATCGAAAGTAGCCTCATTGTTGTTGTTTTTGTTTTTGTTGGTTTGTATTTCATTTGTTATTTTTATTCTGTTGCTGATTTTGCACTAGGGTGACAATAAAACGAAATGTATCAAACGAGGAAGACCGAGTGCCATGTTAAAATGTTAAAACAAACACACGGGTCACCTTCACTCGCAGGTTCGACTGTATATATATAGCTGAGATACTAAACTTTATGTAGAATCTGTGAGCAAGTGTATATCTGAGCTAACAATTTTTTGTAAAGATTACTACTGATAATACTGATTAAGCCTATATTTGGAAATGTTTATATAATGAGACCTTTGTCAAAACTTTGCTTTCACTTTCTGTTATCTTGTAGTACCGTATTCACATTTTCTTCGGATTAAATTAATTGAAATGTTGAGAGAATTGTATCAAGTGTTTCTTGTTCTTGCCAGGCGTGGACGGGAGAGCTGCTGGAGAACAAGGGCAAAGGGGTTTACCAGTGTGCCTGTTGTGGTGTCGACTTATTCAAGTAAGTCAAGCCTTTGGGTGGGGGAACTTTCGTGATAGAGCATAGCTGCCAACCGTATGCCAAAAAAGCATTTTGTAAGTTTTTTCGGAGATCATAAGATTTTACACCACTGTGCTGAATTGTACAACTTTCGGCTGGATCCGATCGATTGTCGAAACAAAATCTTGCTCCGTTTGCCTCACCGATTCGCTACAGCTAGCGGTCCAATCTATTATTAATAGGCCCCTATGACAGCAAATGTACTATTGGACAAAGACACACACACACCGTCTTAGTTTTGTTTCGGCCTACTTCCGCCGAGTTCGTGTTGCGAGTTGGCTTTTCTTTCAATTTTTGTGAGAGTTTTAATTGCGCGTGTTGAAATAGTGATATTTGTACCCTTTTTTTTACAGTCTTACACTTTTTTAAAGCTTAGATCTTACACTTTTGTGGCTGGTGGGGTTGGCAGCTCTGATAGAGACAAAAAGATGTGTTAATGAATTGCTGCATGCATGTTGGTGTTTTCTGTTTTTTTAATTTTTCACTTACAAACAGAATATCATTCACTAGATTTTTCTCTTTTGCATGACAGATCATCAGGAAGTATTCTGAAATATTCAGCTGACCTTAAACAAATTGGGCTCAATGATAAAACATTGTGCGAATGTCCACTTCCATGTCTTTAGAATCCATTTCACTAACATTTTTCCTTAAAGTTGTGTTGAGAATTAAAATTCACTGTCCCAGAATCTAGAAAATGCGACAAGTTGCGTTCATGAGGAATTTTACGAGTTAAACTAGTGCCGGTGAGGTGAAAATGACCCCAAGACGTGAACAACTAATTGAATGTGCTTGAAGCATTTGAACGTGAGAAAGTGCTTTTTTTAAAGGAGAGTTGGAAGAAATTGTCATTATTTGTAGCACATTGTTGAATTGGCCACTTTTTCATAAAAAAAAAAATCACAGTAGCAGGCGACGAAAGTTCATTAGTAAGAAAAAGGAGTCAATATAAATATTTCATTCTTTGGGTTTTTTTTGGTAGGTTCTAATCTTTCACTGTAGAAAGTCTCATCTACATTGGGTAAATAGTTTTGTCTCTGTGATTTTTTAAAATACCCTAAACCTATAAATTCTTTGCCATATCGACAGACCAAAGGGCTAGAACCCAAATGGCCGTTGGATCGGAAAAGTAAAGTAAAAGTAAAGTAAGTTAAAATACCCCAGAAAACTCAGTCCTCTCCGCTTGTTGGGCAAAAAAATCTCAATTTTAAATGAGTGGAGTAGTAAGCACCTCATCTTTTAACTTAAAATTTTTAACTTGATTTCCCTTTCAGCTCGTCTACAAAGTTTGACTCTGGCTCAGGCTGGCCTTCGTTTTATGATGTTGTGAAGGACAAAGACGACGAGGAGCTGCCAGCCGTGGGAACTCACACCGACAGAAGCCACGGGATGATGCGCACCGAAGTGTTGTGTGGAAAGGTAATGCTCTCATTGGCTCCGCACTCAGTCATACAGGGGAGTCCACTCAAACCAAATACCGCTAATCCCAATCAAATAATGGCGGTAAAACTGAGACAAAATGAAGTTCCTGATTTTTCTCTCAGCTTTTTGCACAATTTCTCTAAACTGAAAACACAACTAAACCAAAGAAAATTTGGTGGACCCGTAGATTTCAGTTTAACACTTTGCACCCTGACCTCCTGAGGGTACCGTGTGCCTCTGTCTAGAGCTCCAGAGTGATTCATGCCTATATTTGATATATTAAGTCGTCGCTTTTAAGCACAAGGAGACTATCCCAAAAATGCTGTTTTGAGAAAATCGAAGGTAAAGTTTTGGCCCCTTGTTCAGTTTCTTTAAAAGACAAGGAGAGTTTTCTCTATAACCGAACAAATATACACTCCAATGAAACCAAACTTCTCCTAGGTAGGGCAATGCCCATTTTTGGTGTATGTCAAGATTTCTGAAAAGCCCCGAAATCTGGGTTAGCCTGCTTGTCCTTAAAAGCGACTAAGTGTGATTGCTTATATTCTAAAAACTATAAAGATAGCGACTTGAAACTTTGCATGCAAATAATAGAACAGCCTAGCTGTACGTTACTGCCAGAATCCCACCTTTGTACGCCAATCAGCCCAGCAGGTGGTGGCTCAACGAAACATCCCACGATACGATAAGGTCTTGCTCACCGGTGTATCGGTGGCTAAGCAAATGGGCAATTTTATGTGCCTCTGCTAGGGTTTAAAGGTTAAGGGTGCTTCTCTGTACTTAATTAATATGATGTCTAGATTTGTGTTATTCTTCACATAATCAGTTCTCTCAGCCTTGTTCTCTGTTGAATGCAGGACTTAAAGACACACACTAGGCCATCATTTTTTTGTACTCGTAAAACAAGGAAATCATTTTAACATGAAATATTGCAATAGCCTCAAATGTCTTTGTTGAATCATAAACCTGTAAGATACCTATTCCTTGATTTTGTGAACTTACCTGAAGACACGGAACATTGTCTTATTGCTGAATATGTAGCCCTTGTCTTTTATTTTTTGGTGTGGATGAGCCTTTCTTTACTTTAAACAAACAACAAATAGTTACTTGAAATTCTAAAATAGTCTACAAAAGTAATTAGTGTTGTTTGAGTGGTTTGAGGGTGCTCCATGTAGGTCCTACTTCTTTGCTTTTGCTGTCCATCCTGCTTGTTTCCAGCACTAAATGTCTGTTGTTATGGAATTGATGTTCTTCTCAATACTCAGAACTCAGTAGCTCAAAGTGAATCGTGTTTGCTCCTCAGTGTGACGCCCACCTGGGCCACGTATTCAACGACGGGCCGCGACCCACCGGCCTCCGCTACTGCATCAACAGTGTGTGCCTCAAGTTTAAGCCAGCTCGGGGGGACAAGGACTCGAAGGACGAGTTGTGACCCAGCAAAATCTGACCCAACTGAAATATTTGGGCTGACACTTCGTCGCCTCAGAACTATTTTGCCCAAAGTGTACTTAACCCTTTCAGTACGCCCTGGGGTCATTTTGTACCCCCTGGGTTGTATTCTTCACATTTTAGAATATTTCTAGCACGATAATCTCTTTGAAACTTTCAGTATTTCTCCAAAAATCATGTTGACAGACTGCTGTGCAAAGCGTACGGATCGGATTAACGAGTAAATTTCCTCTTGGAAGTGGTGGCATAGAGTTCCCCGTGTTGTATGGATACGATAGTAAAACATGCTAGGGTTAAGTAAAGAGGCACTTTGGACAAAATAGTTCTGAGGCGACAACTTGTTGGTTATTTATTGTATATCCATGAACATTTCAGAAAAATATCAAAGAAGATATTAACGTACCTATGCTCACAATGCAGACGTTTTTGTTGTTGTTGCTAATCCAGTTGCCCCCTGAGCTATACAGATTTGATGACACACTGTTTTTTTTGCTTGTGGTGTCATGACCCTCGTGTTGATTCTTGTTACTGACTTGCTGAACCCTGACCCCAAGCAATAATGGGAGGAAAATCAAGTCGCAGAACCCTGGTCCTGATTACAATCAAGACCAGGTATGTAGATTGTATGTAATACAGTAATGTAGATGAGCACACAACTAATTTGTGCAGGTCAATAACTAGATTTCTCTTTATTCGGAAAGCAGAGATGCAATAAAGTCAATTCTCACTCAGCGCTGAGATGGCATGCAAGTTTTAGTGGCTTTGCCCATGTGTCCAGATCATAGGCCTGTAGATAATGCCATCGTCTAATCTTTTTCAGGGTCTTGGAGAATTTTCAGAAATTATTAAAAAGTGTGCCAGCGTCAATCCCTTATTTGTATTGGTTCTTCATAGGTTATGAACTTTTGAAGTATGAAAAAAATGGTGGTGCTGGGGTGTTTGGCTGATGGAAAATTTCAGGGGTCTTTTTTTTTAGGCCAAAACATTTTCTCTGGTTTACCAGTATTTTTATGAAAGATATTTTGTTTCTGTGTATATATACAAAGTTTTTGTTATAAAGCATGGTTCAGAATATATTCATTTGTGTTCTTATAAAAAAAAGATACATTATTTGTGGCAGTGTGTTGATTATTGTTTTAATTCACCAAGCTGGGGAGGGGTGGAGGGAGAATGTAGGCAGAAGTTTAGCAACTTCCGGTCATTGTAGACAGATTTTAATGGTGCTCATAGTAGGTAAGTATATTGCTTTATTGTCTTCATGTCGGCAGCAATTGTTGTTGCTGTAGTTTTGAACGGGGCTTCAAACCATGCCTCTTGTTCTTAATGGTAGAATTTTGGTTTTCCAGCTGGCTTCTCTGCAGTGTCACATTCCTGTTTTCCTACTTTAAACTCAGGTAGAAAGTGGTTTATTTTCATTTTAAAAAAAATTGTTTCCAGGAGAAAAGATCTGCATTGAGACCAGAGTGTTGAGCATAAAACTCTTGCTTGGAGTTTGTGGATAATGCAGTTCTTTCTCTGCTCAAACACATAGAGGATATGGTGCACCAAAAGAAATATCTGTCTACAGCATACAATACTGCCATAAATACTGAATAATCTAGTGCGATACTTGTGTGCCAAATGACATTGTTCATTGCAGATTTCACAATATGAATAAAAATGTATGAAGAAATGTGAGGCAGTGTGGTGGAATCAGGCTCTCGTCAAAATAATGAAATCGAAGAAAACAGCAGTTTTCTCCCTGCATAGCTATTTTTATCAAATTTTTGTTTTTTGGCTCAACACCTTTTATGTCCATTTAAAAACACATTACTTTGAGGATTTCACCGAAAACGTTGATTAAAGGCACAAAAATATAAATTTACAGTTTCCATGGACTCTCCAGCTTTGGAATTTACCAAGCTTTGGCGGCCATTTTCTTGCAATTTTACCTCTTAAATCAGGTGACCCCACCTCCTTCAATCCAAAATATCTCCACTTCTATTGAAGATGGATGGGTAATTTTTTCATTGAAAGCAAGACAAATGAACAAGCGTTAAGATGATACCAATAACTCAATATGCCCAAAAATTGACGAGAGCCTGATTCCACCTCACTGCCTCACAAATGATTTAGTTTCTGAATAAATGCCATGAAGAGATGCATGCCCTGTGTTCTTGTGTTTGATGAACAATGTGTTTTGTTCTTTCATGTTTGTGTGTTGGATTCTTTGTTCAGTGTGAAACATGAATAAGTTTACAATGACTTTCTTTTTGTGGTTTGAAAGTAGAGCTGAAAATCTTAAAGTCTTAGAAGTTTAAGTGACTCTTAGTGTTAACGAAAAAAATGGTCATTTCAACAGCAGAAATACGGTCTAGCAGAGACATTGAAATATGCACATAGCCAACGGATTTTCAGGTCGCAAATTTTTTTCTTAAATTTTTCTCTAATTTCGAAACATGTAAACGGCGACATTTGTCAATGAGGAAAAGATTTCAGCATATTCTGTTGATATTGCTACACTTTGTACGTACTAGACTGTGCTTGGTTAACGGGTGGGGTACACAACTGAGATGGATATATTATTTGTCCTGACTGGAAGAGTGAGAGAAAAACAAACAATCTTCCCTGCCCCCATCCACACTTGCATACTTGGCACTCATCATAAGACCTTTTGCAGTATCGAGAGCCGTAAAACCTTTACTAAAACTAAGACTAACACTTACATACCTATTGAACTTGAACTTTCATCCTATGCTTGTCTGCTTTGACGTCCAGTTTACTAAATCTTCTTCCTTGATTTCACCCACTTTGTGACAAGGTGCAGGCATCTAAGAAAATGCCAGATAAATAATAATAAACTTCAACATGGCCATTTGAGTCCTTTTCCCCTAAGCCTACAGCACACATGTACCGACAGACCGTTGGGTCAACTGTTACATTTTACATCACAGCACATAGATCATGGAAGCATGGTGGGTGTTTGGCGGGTGCTCTGGTGTGGTTTGCTCCTTCTTTCCTATCGAACATCTGTTGTCCTTATCTCCCCTCCTTCTTTTTATGTTTGTTACTCTCTTGTATAACACCTCTAATCTTCGGCACTTATACTTGTGTTGCAAGTACCGTGAAACTCTTACTAAAGCTAAAATAAAGCAGTCTCTGTAAAATTATCTTTTAAAGTTAGATTTTCATCCATGAACTATGAAATCGAAGTCAACAGAAATGTGGTGTTTAAGGACATTGAGAATTTCATGGACAGAAAAGAAATCAAATGAGGAAGTAGTGAAAGAAGCACCCGTGGGCTGCTCACTAGTAATAATAGTAATGAGCACGATTAGGAAACAACAAAATGCAGCTTCTAAGGCTCCTGACTCGACTCGACTTTGAACGCCTTGCTCTCACTGGGAAAATAGAAGGCAAACGAGACAGGGGTCGACCCAGAAACACCAAGTCAAAATTAAATAGGATTTGTTGAGAGCATCTGAGCGAATAAATGAATGGAGGACCATGATCACCGATGTCTGTTTCAGGTCTCGCAGATGATGAAATTATGGTGACTATGGGCAACAGTATTTAGTTAACTATAACATCCATTGGTGTGGACTAAAAGACCAAGGCTTCAAAGTGAGGCGAGTTTGTTAGCAAGGTTTTGAAAACCATTGTTAGTTTGGAAGGGCGAAGGCTATTCATGTATATCTTTATAAGGGTTAATGTGTATGTAACAGCACAAAGTTTGTGGTGAGTGTGACCGTGTGTGTATGGGTGTGAGAGAAGTCTGCGGTGAGTGTGTGTGTGTATGTGAGAGAGAGAGAGCGAGAGAGAGAGAGAGAGAGAAAGAAAGAGATGTGTGTGAAAAAAGAGAGAGAAAGAGAAAAAAATGATGTAGGTGTTTTTAACATCTCCATCAACACAATTTAGATCAATTTAAAATGCAGGTTTCCAACCCTGCTTCCTAGAGCCAACCCACGCTGAGAAGGATACAACATCCCAGCAGAAAGATGCAGAGTACTTGATAAAAATTCTCCCCACTTTCATGGAATCAAACTTATGTCTACTGCAAGGGACAGCAAAGCACCTAACTACTACACCGCAGACACTGTTGAGTAGGGAGAGGAACAAAGAAATGAAGAATATGAAATAGAGAGAGTGAGAACCATGCTTATTCATAATTTTCTTTATAGATGTGGACCTGTCCATGTTATCTTAGGTATCAAGCACACTGAGCATTTTTAAAGAAGAATAAAAATAAAAGTGATCCTTTATTACTGTCATTATCATTAGAGGACAGCTAGCAAATAGGCCTACATGCTTCTCACCTCCACAATAAGAAACATCTACCCATGTATGATTTGAAACTGAGATCTTGCTGATGACACTGACGACGGACGAAGAGGAACCTCCTTCTGGAGCTCTAAAACTAAAAGATGACATCTTCCTCTTCATCAAATCTTGGACACATTTCAAACTATACAAGAATGATTTCCTCTCTCATGTACTTTAATTCTAAGAGTGATAACGATATAATTGTGTAGTACCAAGCTGGGGGGGGGGGGAGGGTGTAAAGGTAGATCTTCCTAAATCTTGTGGCTCTTTCTGAAAACCAAAACAGTGTAAATTAAGATGAGTGTTTGTATTCCCCTCAACAAACCTACTGCTGACATACAGAAGTAATTTCTCATGACTTTTTACATAATAATGTCCCCCCTATAACCATCAATAGCCTGAATATGATTGAATTAGTACGATAAAGAAAAAAGCGAAATGGTGAAAATAAGACATTGTAGTGCAAGAATTACTTCCCCTCAGGAAATGACCAAAGAGAGTCTAGCAACACAATAATAAAAGTGCGAAGCTTGCCAAGCCAGATACCATTGTAATCACTCTTGCCCCACACAGATTTGGAAAGTAGTTGTCGTAAGTTGGTGCCGTCCCAGCATTATGGTTTGGCAGTTGACGAAAACGACTGTAAAGAAAATGAAAGTGATGAATCAATGAGTGTTAAATTTTCCTTTCATCCACTACGCATGCAATGATACAACGAGTAAAGAGTAAAGAGAGTGGGGAGAGATCACAAAACAAACTGATAAATCGGATAACTGATAAAGATTCAAAAGTTGACAACGTTTAAAATCACGTAAAAATTCCTAGCCCCATAATTACTTTGTAAGTCTAAATAGGTGATCTTGTAGTTCCGTTCGTTAAAGTCCACGATCCATTTGTTTACATTCACAGAAGAAATCCAGAAGTCTTGAAGACCATATATACTACTATTTGAATTAGGCTACACAAAGAGCAGGGATGCAACCTAACTGCAAAACATCAAATTAGGATAAAATTCAGGGGGGCATGCCCCCCTGAACCCCCCCACCTCCATATTTTTTTAGACTTTAACGAACGAAACTACAAAATCGCCTCTAAATAAAAGGGATTAAGTATTTGGGTTACTCCGGGGTGATAATACTGTAATTGAATTAATTGACTCTGCAGTTTCAGATTTTGGCAACAGGATTATAAAGCCAAAGCCAAAGCGCAGTCGTGCAGACTTATATTAGACTGTACTGTAGAGGATCCCCTCCCCTAACCCCTCTATATATATGAACTCGAATTTGAGAGGGTGCAAAATTTCGTTGTGATACTAATGTACATCAGGTTAATCTTTCGGCGCTTTTTGAGTAGTTCCCACCCCGCAATTGTTATTCACGGGTTTTGGCCCCAAGAGTAGGGGGGTTTCAGGGGGGGCATGCCCCCCTGAATTTTACCACAATTTAATGTTTTGCTGTTGTTAGGTTTGATATCTTAGCTCACCGCGAATCAAACGTATAGATCTAGAATCTAGATGTAGGTCAGGCTCAAATAAGGGGGGTGGGAACTACCGAAAAAGCACCAATCTTTCTTTGATTTAGCAGAAGTTTTACGGCATTTATAACACAATAAGGTCATATATATAAGTGCCGAAGATTAGAGGTGTTACAAGAGAGTAACAGACAAAAAAGAAGGAGGGGAGATAAAGACGATAGATGTTTGATTTGGAAAGAAGAAGCAAACCATACCAAGGAATCTGCCAACCACCCGCTCTGGTTAATCATAGGGACACCAACCTTAAAGTGAATGTGTGTGCATAAAATGTAAATATTCATAACATATAATTGTAATATAAATGCATCACGTGTGTTCAGGGCAAGGGGGGGGGGGGAGGTATGGTTGGATTGAGGAGATCCATTCCAACTTAAACTTGAACCTTAAAATTTACTCCCTCCTTGTGTTACATGTTCTTGTAGCGCAGTACCTCTCCTGGTTTGAGTTTGTTTTTGAACAATAGCAGACTTTTTATGTTGTTCCAAAGAGCAACGGGTTTATAAGATACCATTGTTGTTTAAATATATATCTGTTTCTGATTCACAACAGGACTTCATCAGGAGAAGCTGTCCACGATTCTTGAAGTTACCTAAATGTGAAAGGTCGTCGAGTTATTCTTCCTCCCTCTGATGAGTACATAATGACCTAAGTCGGGGCCTCAGCGTGCTTGGAAAAATGTCGTTCAAAAGTGGATATCAAGTAAGTTATTATGAATTCATCAATGAGTTTTCTGCTTGCTCATTAGAACATTTTTCCATCTTATTTAAATTTAACAGTAAAAGACAGACTGCTATAATTGTGTTTTTGAGGCAAATTATTTGAAAAGTAAACAGTGACTGCAGTGTTTGGTCAGAATGAAGATGTTTAAAAGAGGTCTTGTTTTCTTGTTATCTTCCAGGATTTGTTAAAAATTGTGTATAAAGTTGTTTTTAACTTATTGCAGTATCACAAATAATTTTTATTATGGATTATTTCAGGGAAAAGATAGAAGTGTCTGACCTAATTTGCTGAAGACCTGATTAGTGTCGGACACCTCCGATAGGCTTTTTTTACTTGTTGGCTTTTGTGATGTGAAGAAAGAAAAATTTCTAACTGTTAAAAAAGACGTAATTGTTCATTCTGACACACATGGGGAACGTGTACATAGCGAAACAAAATTTAAAATGTGTACGTAGCAAAATTCGAACATGGTGAAAAGATTTCAAAACATCATCCAGTATATTTCACCATGTGTATAGTAGACTGTATTTCTTTTGTGACTTTTCTAAATTGATCAAAATCAACCTCTGACTTCTTTCTTTCAGGGTGGTCCGTATTATGAGATTTTGAGCACCCAAGGAAAGGACTCAGCTGCCAACTGGAAGCTGTCAAGCTCGTCAATTAAAAAAGTAAGAAACCATACAATCTTCTTTCCCGCCTGAGGTAGTGGATCGGACCTGTTTTTGATGGAAGTTTGAGTGAAAGACAGGCCAATGTAGCGAGTGAGAATTTTAAAAGGAGATTAGACGAATAAAAGGATGAAACTTCAGCTTCTTTCTTTGTTTGTTCATTCGAGATTGTCCGAGACGGAAACCCATTGTCAAGAAGAAGAGTGATTGTCTCTGGTGGACGTCTCAATGTCATAATAATGTTGAAAAAACACGAGATTGGATGTGTTTGCTTGTACAAGCGATTGTCTGGGACAGGTGGCTGTTACAGCATGTTCAACTCTATTTGTTGATTTATGTTTTCATCTGATTGTTCACTAGATCATTCATTCATGTTTTCCATTTTTTCGCTTCAGAATTATTTTGTCCAAAAGTGTACCTATTATAGAGTACACTTTGGACAAAAAAGTTCTAAGGCGATGATTAGTTTGGCTGTCATTTTTGTTTATTTTTCATACGTCCATTTACTTACTATGTTGTTTTATATTTTCCCGTCGCAGACATACGAGAAAGATGTCAAAGGTTACGTATATACCCTGGAGGGAGCCCCAGCAACCACCAAGCTACAGTCGCCCAAGGATCAGAAACAGAGTTGTGAGTGCCGTGTGTATGTCTGAAGGGCTTTGTGACAAAACATGATGTGTCCAAAAAGTGCAGCGCTGAGAAAAACTTAATGTGTTTCAGGATCTTTGTTGTTTGAAGAAAATACAGATTCAAAGTGGTATACATATAGTCATTCGGTATTGCAGTTTTGCTACCAAATATTTAATAGCAGTAAAGATTAAAGATGTTTGCGTGTAAGGTAATGTAAAGGGTAAAAAAAGGAAAGTGTAAAGATTAACCCATTGCTTTCTTTGTTCTCATATTAAAAAAAAAAATTTGCTTCTGTTAAACCTTTATGTTTTGTGATTACCCATGTTTTCGCTGTTTTGTGTAGTATGGAGTAGTAGTAAGTCTTTAGTCCCATGTTCCCTGTTATATTGTTTTGGATATATGAGACCAACTAATCCATAAGTTTTGAGTTCCCATGTGCACATTTCCACGGGGCCCGAAAAGTTTAGGATTTTTTTTCGTAGCCAGTTGGCAACCCTGGGTAAAGGTCGTGCTGTGTTTGTGATGAAGATGATCACCATTAAGCCAAGGCAGGGTATATGGACTTACAGCAATGTATACACTTGTTTCTTTGTATCTGATCATGAGTGTTCTGTCTTTTGCACTTTGTTCTATGAACTCTCTCATGTGTGTTAGTTTGTCCGAACATAGACAAGTGAGTGGGTGGTTGGTGGGTGCTCTGGTGTAGTTTTTCTCCTTCTTTCCTATGAAACATCTATCGTCCTTCTCTCTGCTCCTCCTTTTTTTGTGTTTGTTACTCTCTTGTAACACCTGTAATCTTCAGCACTTATATGACCTTATTGTGTTGCAAGTGGTGTTAAACTGTTGCAAAAAAAAAAAAAGACAAGTGAAGTCATTTATTCTCCACAGTAACCTTGATACAGAGATTTCTGGTCATCCAAGTGTACATTGCTAAAGGGGCGGACTTCTCCATTGAGCTGGGGTAAGTGTTGTTGGCTGTGTGCTGATAGCTGTAGCTGCATGTCTGTGGCTAGACCACACTTGTTTTGACTTTCAACCTCACGGGTGCTCTGGTGTGGTTTGCTCCTTCTTTCCTATCAAACATCTATCGTCCTTATCTCCCCTCCTTCTTTTTTATGTTTGTTACTCTCTGGTAACACCTCTAATCTTCTGGCGCTCATATGATCTTATGCAGTTGCCAGCGCCGTAAAACCTCTACTAAAACAAAACTAAAAACTCTCAAAACAAAATGCGCCCACGGAAATATCACTTCCGGCACTTCCGCTATGAAGGACAGCTACGCAGATTTGTTTCGTTGCTCAGTGGAATAATCACAATGGCCAGAGAAGGACGGGAACTTTTTGTCATATATAATTTTCTAAATTCAGGAAATGAATAAATAAAAAATGGGGCTCCATCTTGGGGGAACTTATTTATCTTTTTGCAGGTACTTGCCGCCAACTTTCAACTCTGTAGCTGTCGTAGTTTTATGGGAAAAGTGACACGTCTTTCCAAGTTGCCAAATATATAATAGATGAAGCAGGTTTTTTTTCTCTCTTCTGAAAAATGTTACTTTGTGGGCCTAGTACAATTGAACAAGTTGCGGATGGTTTTCTGTGTTTCAGAGTGTCGGACCTGAGTAACAACAAGCGGAGACTGGTGCTGTCCACCTCGCTGAAGGAGACACAGGTCACGCCGCTGCACGCCAAAGTCCCGCTGACCATCGTCAAGAGGGCTGTGGTGAGTGTCGTCGGAAATATTTAAGATGGCTGCCCAGGGGCGAGGAGAAAAATGGTTGTCGTAGACAGGTGGACATTTTGGACAGGGGAATTAGAATATTTTGAAAAAAAACAACCGGCTAGGAGGGATGTCTGAAGTGGTTGTTTGTACAGGTGGCCGTTAAAGCAGGCTTGACTTATCTGGAAAAGGGGAAAGGGGGGGACAAAACTCCCCTTTTGTGCTTGTTCTAGCGGTAGCACTGGTTTCTGTGGTGTAGCAGTTCGCCACTTTGGTGTCTCATTCAGAAAACATGAGTTCAATTCCTCTGTCTGTTTGCTGGGATGTTGTATCCCTCTCAACCTTGACAGGCAGGGTCAAAGCCACATGATCCTATGGTATGTATAAAGAACCCTCTACTTAAATCTTTGAGCAATTGTGGTTGTTAAAAAAGAAATGATTTTATTTTCTCTTTTTATGAAAAATCAGTATTCACACAAATTCACGGTAAGATTGAGATATTTACCTTGTGTTTGTGTGTATGTTTGTGTTTGCAGATATTGATCATATGTTTGTGAGTATGTTTGTGTGTGTGTGCTGACATTGACCGTATGTTTGGCTGCATGGCTCTGACCTTACGTTCGTGTGTACATTTGTGTGCGCCCCCTAGTGGCTGAATCTGGTGCTGGACATGGTGTCTCTAGTTGGGGAGACGTGGACCAGCCAGACGTTCCGTGCCGTGGACCAGATCTCTGTCTCTGCCAACTGCAAGTTGCGGCGGGTGTTCACCATGAAGTCCCAGCCCCTGGACACCACTGACGATGACGGTACGCTGCTCATAAATAAACAAAATAAATTACACTTTTATTGATCCCAGAAGGGCAATTTGGTTTACAGTGGCAAACACACACACACACACACACACACACACACACACACACACTTTACAAACATGCCATTGCCGGTCGCCACTGTGTAGCGCCCTGTATTTTGAGCTAGGGTTGTCGTGTCTTGCTCAAGGACACACCCCAGTGATCACCTATCTGTTCCCTGTGTCACCGACACTTGCTTGACATTACTTGAGTCTGAACTCACTGCTACCTTAGACACTGGAGCCATGTATACCACACCTGATAGGTACTTTGACAGAATTGGAGCCTTCTGATTTTTTTTTGACTGTCTAAGAGTCCTGATTTGATTTGTATGAAATTGATGAAGGTACTGTGTTCACGTATACTATACCTAATAAGTACTTCGACAGAATCGGAGAATGGATTTTTTTTTGTTGCTGTCAAAGAACCCTAATAGGATTTGCATGAAATCTTTTTTTTAAAAATTCCATTTCCACTGTTGTATGCAACTTATTGTAAATAACATGAAGATACACAGGTTCACTTGCTACATTTGCAAGAGTTATCATAAATGACATGAAAATACACCTCTTTCCAGTGCGTTTGTTCGCGATACACATGTTTATATGCTGTGGACTGATCATAATGTATTGTTATATACTGGGGTTGTTTAGAATCCATTTTTTTCCTCCAAAGTCGGGTTTTTAGGGAGGATTCTGAGAAAATCTCCTATTTCTGGTCATGGAGTGGTTGGCCTTACACTCATCCTCCTTCACTTTAATTTTCATCTCTCTCCCATCCCCTTCCTCCTCATCTTCATTCAACTTCTATGTCCACAGCTCCTTCTTTCCTTTCATTTTTCCGTTTCCTTCTTTTCTCTCTCTTCCCTCATTCTCCTCCTCCACTCAATACTCACCCTCCTCCCTGTTCTCTT